GGCTTATATACCCTTCTACAGCAGCTAACATTCACGAGTTATCTTATAAAAATACTTAGGTGAGAACATCTACCTAACTAATTTTTCACAATCGGACTACAATATGTCCATTCACAGAATCATTTCAGTGCACACTAGTGCAAACTCCCGTCGCTTTGCTGACGGTTTAAATTTAGATAGTTATTTCTTCACGGTAGTTCGTACCGTGACAAAGAAATCTTAATCTTTGATCTTACAATTAAAATCATAAGTAGATGATTAACGATAGTTTACTATCTATTTTATTAATTTGGGACGAGACTCGACATGTCATGAATTTCTGAAATAGTGTCTGTTTTTTATGGTCATTATGGTTACTGTATTGAAAGCTAAGTTGCATTCCAAGCTTACTATCATTTACTTCAGTTTAAACTTAACAGCTTTGTGTTTAAATTATAACTTAACAGAGTATGCAAATATACTGTTATGCTCTGATCGAATTTAAATCTTAACCAATCCATAATTTTTGAGCGAAATCAGGCAATCAACGATATAAATGCACATTATGTATTGCATAACCAATATAACTTAAGAGTGCTTGCGTACTCCTCGTTGTATTTTTCGGAAAATAAACTTTAAGTCTAGCCGATTATATTTACCGATTAAATACAATATTAGGTTTATGTAATACTATTTTAACCTTTGCTACTAATCCAATTGAATTGATCTGCTCTAGGAAATTGGAAAGCAACGATATCACTGAAATTCCTGATTTCGCCTTCAAAACTATCACTTCACTTGGAAGTTTGTAAGTGGACAAGCGAAATTCTTTTCTGAATAATATTTAACTAGCTATAATTGAGAATTCAACTGTGAGGATGATATCACTATAAGCTATACCAATATCTAAAAATAAGTTTAGAATCTTATAAAGCATCTAATTTTTCATTTACTGAGAATAAACTATCTTATAGAGTATTCGCTTTAATTATTTTCATTATTTAGAGAACTTGCTAACAATAAATTCATTCGTTTGAAAGAAAATTCTTTCCATGGGTTACAAAATTTGGCGAGCTTGTAAGATTATTGATCGCTTTTCATACAATCTACTGAGTCTTACGACATTTGACCGACATATATTTAGGCGACTTGATCATAATCAACATCTTCAATCGATCGATTTTCGTTTATTTGACAAGTTTTTGTCTCTACGAAATTTGTAAGGAGTTTAATGCAGTATTTAATATAGTTACGTAGCAATAAAATCTTGAAACAATTTGACTTAATTATTATTTGATCCACTTTATGAAATCGCAATCCAGATTTCAGAAATAATTTCATAAAATTTTATTATTAACTGGACAAACTAGGAGTATGCGATTTTGTAACCTTAATGCTTCCATCGTAAAGCGGCAGTTATTTCAGAAAATTTCCACGGCTCATAGCTTGTGAGTAATATTTCAAAATATACAATAATTAATTATAAAAGCTCTACTGTTCTCATGTGTACCGATATAGATAGCTGCGAAAATATTCTTCGCTAAAATATAGTATAATACGCGAACTCAAATTGCTGAAAAATATTACCGTCATAACTAAGGCTAATATAGAAATATTTTTACTGTGACAATATCTTACTGTATTGAAATTATGCTAGAACATATCATCTCAGTCAAAGAGCATGTTTCCTAAAATTAAATAGTGAATTTTAGAGAAAGAAACCTTTTGTATGGCAGCTAAATTGATAAAATGAAATTTTCAAATGTGGCGTAATTAAAATAGATTCTGTAAATGATGATCAGTTTGCTATTATAAACCTTTTGGAAAGCACATAAATTTTAAGTAATTGTGACTAAATTAGACGTGTTATAATCAAGTAAATGAACATATCAACTGAAGATAAATTAAAAAATAAATAGTACAATGGTTAAACTGATTCATTTATTAGGTTTCTTGATGGTAATAACTTGATTGGAATTGATGAGAGCTTAATTGACAATATTTCTCAACTGAAGTCCTTGTAAGTTAGAAAATAGACCAGTAGTTATACCATTTCAGACGATGCAATTTTTTACATACAACCTTACCAATATCATTTCTAGTCTATAACTCACTAGTAATCTTAGATTAGCCAAAATATAATTGTGATGTTTCGGAAGGCTTAGGGTCTGTCATAATCGTAATTAAATTATGAAGAGTCAAATTAGCAGAGTTGTAGAGTTTATTGGAATTAGTGCAAGAGGAAAAGCGTGTGAGGTCATAGCGTTTACAAAGACGTGACTAGTCGAATAGCTATAGTAATGTAGAATAGATAAAAAGTGCACACTAATCGTGTAACTAGCAGAACTAACTAACGAAATAAATGCAAGATTAGCGCTTTTATAATGTAAGAAGCACTGTAGGAGGAAATTATTCCTAAAACACGAATGACTATTAAGAATAGCTTGATTCTACATAAGGGTAATTCTACGATATAATCAAGCTAGAGTATAAGAGATTTCCACAGTATGAATAGTTAAATGTAGATTATACAAACAAGGAGTTATATTATAGTTTATGTGGAAATTAACTTTACTAAGAATAGACTGTACCGTATTTAGAAGCATACACTACAATAATAAAACAGCTGAAACTCTAATTAGTATCCGGAAAATTTCAGTGTCCTTAGCGCTATGTAATCATCGATCTAGCTTAAAATTTGAATCCAACATTCAAAATAATATCAAACTAATACAATGTTTAAGATTCAATTATAATATCGTTATAACCTAGTTAATCGGTTATGTAGGGTACGAGTATTACAATGCATCAGTATACCGCGAATTGATAATATTTATCTTGTATTTTCTTAAAAGAACAGGCCGAAGATGTTCTAAGCTCTTAAAATCTCTACTAATTAATTAATATATAGAAGCCTAAGCCATACTAAAATTCCTCTAGACACAGTTGCTTCCATACTATCCAAGAAATTTGGATATAGGAATGTGTATGTTGCAGCTTTGAAAATTCGAAATCATAAGAATCTATACAAGATTATATAACATCATCAGATCGCAAAAAATTATTGAAGATTAACGCGTATAAATTCTCGCGATTAATAGGATCCTAGCTGGGCTTGCAATTAAATCTCCTGACGTGCTGTTCAAAGTTTTAACGGGCGCCATAAGATTGTTCGTACCTACTTATAGAATCAATTTTGCCTTTACAGCTTGATAGTAATAGTTTTTTTTTATACGTAGGGATCTTGAAAATAACGAGGTCGAAGGAATCGATCAGCAATCGCTACTGCCATTGCACTCGCTTCGTATTCTGTAAGTTTTCTTAGTCGTTATACCGCCCTTTTGATTAAAGATGAGCTTATATTAGCTTTAGCATCTAATCTTCATGCTTTTGTATCATCGATAAATGACATGCGAATAAATGAATGCTGCAAACAGAAGGCTTGCGGGTAATCGATTAAGAGATAAAGACTATGCCACATTACTAACACTAACGGGTCTCGAATATCTGTAAGTTTATTACAACTCCCTTAGTTAAATTAACTATATAATCAAAATTTCTATTATTGCAGAATAGCTGCAGCTTAAAACAAAATATAAAATCTATTCCATACTCTAGATTAGATTTTGATCTATGGTATAAAATTGTAGTAACATTTATTTCTGATCCTTAGTATCCTAGTAATTAAAAAATGTTAGCATTTATATTATTCCTGTTACTATAAATTCTAGATCTCTGTCTAGAAATAAATTGGTGAATGTATGTATTGAACCAGAATTCAATGTTTCTTTGACGAAATTAAAAGCTCTGTAAGTAAGAAATCATTGCTATTATTTGTCGTACATGATGTCGATCATTCAGTTCATTTTTACACGTAGTTTTAATTATTTACATGTGACTTACACAAATAATAAATAAGTAAATGTGCATGCAAAATTAAAGGCAATGTTATCATAGCTATAACCAGTTATGGTAATCGTTATTTAGAAGTTATATTCAAGATACAATTAGCTTTTCTATCTTCCTATTGAACAGATACATTACTTCTTAGAAATATTAACTGTATCTAATGAGTACTTTATCAACAGTATAGATATTTATTTTGATTTTTAAAAGCTAGACTAGACATAACTATTCGTTAAACAGCTATTAGTTGCTGTATACAGGCCATGAAAGTTGATAGTTTTCAAAGTGAATATTTCCCACAGGAATCTAATACCGATTTGGAATAGCAGTTTGTAGATAAGCGTCATATTTTGTCGACTGACTCCTTTTTCCTAATCTTATTAATACGCTATTTAGGGACTTAGACGATAACAACATTTATAAATTAGATGCCAACTGTTTCAACATTTTCCACTTATTAATAAACCTGTACGTAAGCATGTAACGAATAAGATTTTATGTAGATAATATGGTAAATCTATTCAATAGGGCTTCCTATAACACTCAAGTATTAATCTAATTTAATAATTTGAAAAACTATACAATTTCAAAATAAATTAATAACTAGCCAGCTATGATTCATCCTTCAGTAAGGCTTAACTTTTTTTGCAGGAACTTAAGAAATAATCCAATAATTCAATATAAGGGAGACTCTTTTTATGGTCTGTCAGATTTAAGAATGATGTAAGTATTAAAAAAGCATATATACTCAATTATATACCAAAGTTCAGTCTATAAGATTATCAAATTATGATATTATCGATAATGTAACTGTGCTTTATAGATAAACCTAGCAATTTCATTTAACCTATAGCCAGCCTACTATATCTTACGATAATTATAGACTACGAAATATCATTGATCCGTCTAAAATTAAACGGCGAAATTAGTTTACGCGTAAAACTTGAATAAAATTACTTCTATTATTTTATTTAATTAGGGTTTCGAATAGGGAATACTTATGCTGTGCTGCTCCAGAATCTATAATCAGTTGCAATCCTTTACCTAACCAATTTAAACTTTCCACTTGTTCCCATCTTCTATCTCATATAGTGTTACGCTTACTTATATGGATTATTGGTACTATAGCTATTATCGGCAATATCGTTTCCATCATTTGGCATTTAAAAATCAGGAAACAAGATATGCTAATTGTTAAAACACTAATTACTAATTTATCTATTGCCGATTTGCTAATGGGATTCTATTTAATTTTAATTGCCTCAGCTAATCTGTTTTATTCTCAACGATATTCAGAATATCTTGAAGTATGGTTGCGTAGTGCATTATGTTTAATAGCATCCTTCTTAGTTTCTCTATCTAGTTTAATGTCGACTTTTGTGCTCTTACTTATAACCATCGACCGCTATTTATATTTTACCTATCCATTTTTCGATTATCGTTTATCATATAAGGCAAACGCAATAACTTTGTTAGCACTATGGTCAATTTCTATTATTTTTACTGGTATCCCTATCCTATATAGCATAAATCAACCGGCCGCTAATCGATTATATGGGACAACTAGTGTTTGTTTACCAAGCAATATCAGAAATCAATATCTGCTCATCTGGCTACTGTCATTTTGCGGTACTACTTTCGTTACTTGGGTAGCCATAACTATAATGTATGTTGTCATTGTTATTGAAATTATTCGCTCACGAAAACTCACGCAAAGTAAAATATCATTGGAGGATAATATTATCATCTTTAAAATGATATCTATTGTAGCTACAGACTTAATTTGCTGGATGCCGTTATACATTGTTATAATTCGTGTTTTCTTCGGGCAAGGATTCGATATGGATTCCCTATCCTTCATTGCTACTATGTCCCTACCGTTAAATTCTTGTATTAACCCGATCTTATACACAATTTTCACTAAAAAATTCATTAAATATGCAAGGATATTTCTAATGCAGTGCCGGTGCCATAACTGCTTAACGATATATTGTAATCATCTGCCTTCAACCTCTGATGGACCAGGCAAAGGTAGCTTAAAATACGTAAAGTGATAGCAAATTTGGCTAAGCTGCATTGAGTTTTGGACTCCAATTTAGTTTAAAATAGGACATAACCTCCTTAAAATTCTTATATTTGCTAACGATATATTCGAATGTTTTCGGTCTACCTAGATTATGGACCCCATTATTATGCCAGTATATCGGTAATATCCAATTCTGTTAATATTTCCAAGGTATGTCTATCTAGAATAGATTCCTGTTACGGATAACTTTTGCGTAGCTATTGTAATATCGATTCCACAAGATAACTTATCTTTGGAATGTATTTACATTAATTAATCTATGACGTTATACATACTTTTAAAAGATAACTGCATAATTGTATAATATTATCAATAAAGTGATAACTAATATTTAAGTGCATTTTCTATGCGTTGACTAACATTTTCAATAAAATTTGGGTTTAGTTGTGTCTAAGAGAGACTAGTGTTGTGCTACTGTTCCTCCTGACTATAGGACATCGTCAGTATTTAGAATCGTACTGTAGGTAAATATCGGGGCGGATGGACCTGACAGTAGGCTTGTAGTATTGAGTTTCTGCAATAGTTCGACTTTTTTCTTATTTCAAATTTTGATTTGTGGCAATCTCTGATGCTTATTTTAAGAAGTTATCATTTAATCTCCATTCTTGCGTCGCTACATTATTTAAAACTATGATAGTCATGATTCTTTTGCAATAGCAATATCTCAAAGTTAAGCTACGCAAGGCAGACCGGTCGGAAATTTATGGATTAATAAAAGCGTATAATGAAAATGAAAGAGAATGTTGGGAACGCGAAAAAGAATTTTACAAACAAAATGGATCAAAACAAATAAATTTAATCAATACAATTTCATGCTTATGGTTCTGCGAAGGTCATAAATTTCGCTCTCCTTATGGCCGATCCTCGAGTTACTATGGAAATCGATGGTTCGTAGAACTTGCTAGCATAAAATTCTTGTTAAATTATTTTATACTACTGATCAAAAGCTTCTATCGATCTATTTAAGTATACTAAAGCAATTGTTAGTCTTCTTGACGGTATTTCGGTCGAATTTATGCTTGGAAGAAAGTAACAACTTAAATCGTCATTATAATAGGATGGTGTGTTACGAACTAGTAGGAGAGGATATGTGCACACTGGATTATGTCATCAAACGGCAATTGATTCCTTTGAGACCTTCCTCAACCCTTCAAATTGTGCAAGATATTGTTCGAGCAATTAAATCTTTACATAGTTGTAATATCGTTCATCGACACATTAATGCAGAAAGCATCTTCATTGGTATCTATAAGCAGGTGCTATACTGTATATAAGAGATCTTGCCTTGAAGTACAGTATCAAAACTTTAAAAATTGTCATGAGTAAAGCAAATATTTGTATAGTATCCTGCAGTAAACAACATTTCATAATTGTGAACATAAGATCGATTTATAATGGAGTAATTAATGATTGCTACATGCATTAACAGATTGCAGCTACGTAATGCTAATATCATTTAGTTTGAAGCACAAATGATAAGCAGCACTTACTACTCCATGATGAATTTTTTCACGATAAAATAGGACAGCATGATTACAACTAGATTGGGAGGATTTACTTCCGCGCTGTTGCTTTCGAACAAAATTGGTTCGTCGAAATATAATGATGAAAACAAGTTAATGGCTAAAGATATTGCTGATTTGGGAAAATTATGCAGTGATCTCTCACTGTATTGTCAAACTAAAGCATTAGAGCTATCTAGATCTTCTGAATTAAGCCTAGCAAATCAGAAAAGCTCCCCTTGCAACTTGTGGACGATTGCTCAGACTTCGGTAAGCAATATCGCAGCTGTCGTTGAGGCTCTACTAGTTTATGATGATTTCCTTTATTTTAGTATTTTTCGCTTTAAATTATTCAACTCATTCTTTAATAAAAATTGGCTGACCTTTCCAAATTAATATTAATTTAGCTGATGAATACAAAGATATTCATTGAAAATCAACAGAAAAAAGATATTTCAATAGAAAAGCTAGCAGACAAAGTATCATCCGTCCTTGGAGGATATATACGCAATCTCCAGGAACACTCACAATACCCATTTGCTCTTTAAATGTAAACTAGAAGTACTCCTTCATGTCAAGGATATTATTAATTGATGATAGAGTTCATGCCCCACAATAATTTTGGATAATTTGTTTATGGCAAATATTAGCCATATATGTATTCAAGTCAAGTAGTAGAATTAGCTATAAGTTATGCTATAAAACTCGAGATTAAATAACCAAATATCCAGTAGTCAAATCTAAATTGTATTTAGTATCGCGGATATTAACAACCGGTAATATTAATTTCATTCCGAAATTTCCATTTTAACTATTATGTATTTATGACGGTAAATACCGTATAATGTATTCCAGAAGGATTATTATTTCAAGTACTCGGTTAGAATTAGAAGGGCTTTAAATAGTACCCTTTAGCAGCAAGGATCTTGCTGTAAGATAAAAAATGTATCTGACAGAACTTGTTTTCGTTGTATGTATAATCCTGCAGTTGATAAATTATGGTTACAATATAAGCCATAGATAGTATTTAAACTATAGCAATAGCGATTTACAAGATCAACTGTAGTATGCGATACAAATTTAATGGTTCAATATCAGTACATTAAGCGACTATATAAAAAACTGCTAATGTATAGAAACTAGACATTTTGAAGTCTATACTACGGAAAAATAAAGCTTCAGATAAACCAGAAGTGTCCAAATTGGCACAGTATATAACTCTAATTCTCTAGTCCATATACTTCAAAACAATAGATAGTGAAACTGAAATAATTAACCCTGCTGTTGTAAACATCTATCGAAAACCAGTACTCCGATGCAATCTAATTAAAAAGAACTAACGCAGTTTAGTAAAGACATTCAATTCCATGCGTGACGACTTACCCTAAATAAATAAATTTCCTGCTTTCTAGATGAAAAAATCCCAGCTCTCGCTTTCTTACATAAAGAACTAAATGCAAACCTCGTAAATCCTAACTAGTTATTCGAAGCTCATATTCGCTGTTTATTAATCTAAATCTTTCATTTAACATAACGTGATTCTTGGCTTATTCTGTATCATCTTTCATGTAATTGATGAATTAAATTAGTATGATTTCGAAATGAAGCCATAATGATATCCATTTAATAATAATAAAATGTTTATTAAAATAGAAAAGTAATTTACCAAAAGTTAAAGCCTTGAAACTTTCTTACATGTTAAAAGTCATACATCAAAGTTAGCTGGGATATTTTTAAATGAAATGAGTTGGTAATTTAATTACATATTTATGATAAAATCCGATCACGAAAATTCCAAAGTTGTAGAAAATTAGAACTTTATTAGATGTAATACAAAGACTAGCTACATACAGCTGTACTTTAGCCGAATACAACAACCGAAAGACTTCTAGAAAGAATAATCACATAATCTATTGTCTCTTGCTTTTATACTCTCCGTAGCCTTCACAGCTACAATCAGCATAGCAGCATTCTACCATATTTTACACATATTCAGCTTGTTATTAGTCATAATATTTTACAGCGAACCATCATTAACTTAATATAGAAATGATTACAGTATTTTCGTATATATTATTCCTACCACTCAAAGTACAATGAACTAAGCATACCATCATATATGATTTACAATTCTATTTCTATCTCTAACCTTATTAGCAGTGCAACACCTTATTGTATATAGCCATCTGTACTCTAGCATAGAGTCTATCCTTACAGTCTATAGTTATAGGCTACTAAATATATTATAAGATAAATTTAGTAAAGACACTACCGTACATCATACTAAACATGGCTAATAGTCTACAATCACAATGCTAAGTTAATTTACTTCCGTCCGCCTAGAATTTTGTATCACTGCAAAATTCAACAAAATAACATGCTAACAAAGTATTCCGGCTCACAGGCCAAACAATCAACTAATTACCCGTTACTAATCTTGATAATATATCTGCATAGCCATTGCTTTTACTAGGTCTATGTCTAATATTAATCTCAAACTGCGACAAAAACATAGACCAACGCATTCAGCGTTGATTGTCATTACGTATATGTGACCAAGCCATGTTAATGGCTTGTCCAGGTAAAATTAAATACACTGTCATGCACCTTCTTCATCAGCCATAACTTGATTTTATACGGCCCAAAATTACAAAACGATGGAAGAAAATTTAGTTGTTTACGTCATTCTTTTATTAGTAATAAGCTACAATGTAGCTTGTAGTCCAATAAATTCAATAAGAAAAGCTAATTAAAGTATTATTCCTTTTTGCAAGACATAATCAAAATTATCAGTCAACGCCATATACAATTCTTTTTATTTACATTAATATGAAAATTCTTGTAATCTACTGGTCTTGACTAAATGAGGTTATAGGAATAGCTCAGGTGTTTAAGTAGAAACCTAATTAGCATAGATCAATACCTGGATAAATCATTCTGGGGCATGGTAAGATTGCGAGTTACCCCATAAGCGTTCCAAGATCTACCAATACCGTCCTGTCCAAGAGTTCAATAATGATATTATATTATAAATAAATTTTTCATCATTTGCACTCTGATTTATAAATAATTTATAGGCTACCATATACTATCATGCTGCTAATATCATAAAGCACAAATTTTATAATTTAGTACGCCCTTAGAATAATGATACACTTAGAAAGCCCAGACACATTTAATGATGTAGGTTATTCATATCAACTTATTAAAAACCAATCATTAGCATATTTTGATATTAAAAATAATAAATAAATAACCAATTTAAAAAAATTAGAACAATGTAGAAGAAACTCTTTATGTACTTACTAATATTTCGAAATCGAACGGAGACTAGAGACAATATTAATAATTTGCTTGTATGTGGAGAATTTCTCCAATGAATAAGATCTATCGTGAATAAAGTAATAAGTGATTACAGATTTGAGTTTTGTCTCGTGTCTCGGTTCATTATATAAAGAATATTGCTCTACTGGTATAAAATCTGAGTTGCAATACAGAATTATAACTGTATACTGAGGCTATAACATCACAAGTCAGTATTCTAAAGCATTGACGACGCGCAGGTTAGTTGCTACGAAACATAACTTTTATTTTTATCATTTCAAAATATTTATTTAAGTACAATTATCATTATAGACAATAGTGGCTTTGATTAGGTTCCATAATTCCCAAAACTAAAATAGCAACATTATAACTGTTGCAAATCCGGAACCATCCTACTCAAAACAGTCTGTAATATTTGTCCTAATTATAGTATAATGATACCAACTTTCTGTGGATAATTCATTTCCACCGTTTATTGCATCATATGTCAAGTTTGCCCACTGGCTCGCAATGTTATTGTGGTGACCTTACAGCCAATTTATTGATATTACCTAATAAATTCTGCTTACACATATACTTTTCCGTTTGTTTATCAACCGTTTCAATCCAAGCATTAGTATTGGTAAATACTTGAAGTAACATGGCGCTAGGTCATATTGATCAATGGTTGATATTATTTGCTATAGCTCTGATTCATAACCACGGTAAAAATATTTCAGTTGGTTAAATAAGAATGAGTATTTGACCCATCTTTAGATGTACTTCAGTCTTTATTTATGAAATATTCGTAAATTGCTCTAGTTGCGAACGCTCTACACTGCGGCAATACCGTGCAAAACATACAACTCGAACAATTTTGCGACTGTCAAGTCGACTGTAAAAATCAATATGATGAAATCGGATGTGGTAAGACTATTTGAAATAGAAGTTTGCAATGAATATACGAGTTTATTGTATCAGCAAAGATTACCAAGAATAATTTAGGTGAAAAAACATAGTCGTCTTATTATAGTTAGTAGCATGAAAAAAAACGTATAGAGCTATGTCACAAAACAGCTTTGCAACAAGATAACGCAATATACGATCAATAAGTCAATTCCTTGAACCACGTATCAAGGAACGATATCTGCACTATCACAAACACTTTTGCTCTACTAGCAGACTACACAAAAACTTATTAGACGCCTCGTATTTTACGTTAAACACTAAGTTGGAGAATTCTTCTTTATTTCACGATATACTGCATTTATATACTATTCCTCAATAGTTCATGAGTCATAGTTAATACAATTAACATTAGAATCATTTACTGAATTAGATATTAATTTTAGTTCAGTAACTTTATACCGTGTACTGCGTACTATTAGCTGATTTCTCAATATAGTTTAGAATGAAAGTTTTAGACTATAAGAGATGAAGTAACGGCTTCCTGACGATGGAAGGATTGCCAGTATAGTGTTGTACTTTATAGATAAAGTGTTGAGGACAGGAGCCAGACAGTAATCCTAGAATGTTTCGAATTTTCTGGTAGTGTTAACTTCCATTTTACAAATTTTCATTGGTAACAAGATGCCGACATAACCGTAATCGAGGTTTTGTGAAACTTACAAGTAATAGACAGGATAAAGTTAATATCAGAGAGAATGATTGCAAATAGAATTTGCGGGCTGAACATTGCTTCAACGAATTTATATCGAATCTTCGCTAACTTGTTATACGGCCTATGATGCATAAATTAGGTTATTAATCCAGCTTTACCAAGATAATTTTAGGCAACTAAATCAAAGTAGGTTTATCTGCGCTACTATCGTTACAACTACAGCTGGACGTAATATCTGTCAAATTTGTACATCATCACTGCCCAAAAGTATGAATATTTGAAGGCTCAAACTGCAGTATTATAGTACTGTATGTCTTATACTACTTAACAAGACAATTTTTTCTTACGGATATATTCTAAAATAGCCATATTCAAATGTTAGAGCAATTTCAATGAAGGCATGAATTAGTGCAAATTTCAATGCTTAGATCCATAGTTTAGTCTTACTAGAGGTATGTATGTGAGCGATGGCTTTCTGACATTAATAAAACTATTCAACATTCATAATATCATAACAACTTTTACCGTTTTTCTCCATTTACTAAGCTGTCATTTCCAGTTTATACTTTATATCTAATTTCTCCAGTGAAATGCATACTGATTCATTATTACTAGATGATTATTGGAAAGATATAAATTTGCTCTAAAATTTTTCAGCAGAACATTTCATCAAATTAATTAATAATGCAATAGCGATCTTTAATATTCATCGACAATAAATGCGTTTACTTCTTTTTACCTCATAAAAAAATTTCTATTAATATGATAATACTTATTCAAGAATGATGTCCTTTATTAGCTATTACGTCATAAGTACAATAAGACACTGTGATTTATTCATCAGGACCACAAGTAGTCATCACTAACTTTTCATTATACTAAGTCAATGAAATCATAGCTTCCTCTTCTTTTTACTTTAAGTAAAACGAAATTGTCTTCTTACAACAATTAACCTAACTTATTATCTACTATACATACAATGTAGATAATATCAACATTAATTTTTCATTGGTTTATGTGGTCTATTTTTCGATATGCTACTGAAATCAATTTAAGATAAAAACACTATCGAGTGAATAGACACTCTAGCAGTGCTGCATATTTTTAATAAGTTACAAAAAATTATTTCTAAAGTGCGTGGTATCTATTAATTCTAAGTGAGATTGTACCTACTAGCGTTACCCAGTTTAGAGTAAAACCGTACACATAGATATTTTTAATCCAAGGCAATTATTTCAAGGCTTACAATAGTCCATTTCTGAAATTTGCTTTAAATTTTAGCTCCAATTAATGCCACAGCAGTTCAAAATAGTGTAACCAGTTGCAAAGGAAATTCATGTTCATTAAACGATGGAATCGTATATACACAATGTAAGTTTATACAGCACGAATAAGTACAATATCTACGATTAAAGTATATTGGCTGACTCTTATGCCTATTATGGCAATATAGTATGCAAGCCTTTAACCTGCCCCTTATGGAAATTCGATACACGAACGCAATCAACACAAAACGCAAGCTGCGGTAAGAATCGAAAGTAACCATTCAATTTCGAAACTTTAACTTCAGTAAATTAAAATTCTTCTCTAAGATGCAACAAAATTAAGGAGAGATAAATGCATAGCTTCATTAAATAGATTAAAGTAACAATACTAATTCGATTCCAATACAAACTGTAATGCAAATATTCTTGTTTAAGTGATTAAAAGTGCCATATATCGTATCTATTAACCGATAGTAAAATTATTTGATAGATTTCAGCGATTGATTTCTAATATAAGTTAGGTAGCCCTAAACTGGTTCAGTAGTTAACTGACTATATATTATAGACTATCTGGTTAACTTAATCTCCTAAGGCTATCATTGTCGACTTGTAATCATAATATATAAATTAATAAAATTCTATTGGTTATTTAGTTAAACTTCCATGTATTGCCGGATGCCTATGTGGCTTAAGTTATATGAAGTGTGAGAGTGGTCGCAGGACTAAAAGCATCAAGCGAATGATGATTCCATACCAGCACGTGTTAGTAACATGATCATTATTTCTGCTCTGATTTATAGCAAAGCTAGTGGAGCCAATAAAACTCCTTTCTAGTTACAATAACAAAGTTTAGAAAGAAATATTACTTAAAACTTATCATGCCTAAATTTTTGGAATAAATTTCATATATAGTTCGTTTCAGGATAACTACTATATAAAATTTCCAATTGATCCCAACGTTACACAACCCTGGATTATTGCACTGTAAATAAAACTACAAGTACTATAATCTTAAACTTGATAATAGATTGGAATATACCAATTATAGACCGACTTATATATTTATCATATTTTTGATAGCGACCTCTTTAATCATACTTTTTTTACTAAACTCTAGCAATATCAAAGATAATATGATTACAAATGAGAATTTATCAGAAGCACTTCAGAACCTGCCAAATCTGCGACTCCTGTACGGTAGCGATTTATCGATACTTTTATTTCATTTCTCATTAATTATCTAGTTTCTCATTATCTACCGTACAGCTTTATTCCCAATAAATAGGATTGTTTTAATTACTCCATAAAACTTGTAGGATTCTTTCCAGCATCTGAAAGGCTGTGAATAATAATACTTTTAAAAACGTAGAATGCAGTCTTAAATGACATTATCATAACATACCACAATTCATCTTTACTTTTGGTTTTGCATATTAGGCAGATGTCTGATAACTACTTAAAAATAATCCCAAACTATCTATTCAAGCATCAGAAGGTCCTGCTAAAACTGTATGTCATCAAAATTGTAGTATCAATGAACCTTTAAGAGTCGCTTTAGCCGTTTCAAAACTAAAGTATTTTTTTAAAATCATATAGCAAATGTACAGACTAATAATATACCCTTTATAAATGCTTTTATTTTCCATCGTTATATCTAATTTCATTGACTATATTGTGAATTACGTATTTATTGCATCATTAAGTATCTTGGTCATACTCGATAATAGAGAGCTTATAGAAGGTATGGTAGTATAAAAGCTGTGTAGCATGTCAGCAAAGAGTTCATTAGATTTTAATTAATAAGCTAAAATAGTTAACATAAATCAAGCAAGCCTGGCTACAGATCACAATCTTCTAAGATTAAAGAAAGGGTGATAATTTCGTAAAAAAAAACTATCCACTTGAAGCTTCTACCTACATCGCTAACGGCATTTATATCGTTAAATCAAGAGACTTGACACTAAACCGCATTAAAAAACTTGAGGAGCATGCCTTTAGCGGAATGGAAAGATTAAAATTTCTGTAAGATACTTAAAACATAGCTAAATTATTGATTTACTAAATTCTTATGACTAATATCATTAAAATTTATACAGTCGATATAGTCTTTAGTAATGTTAGTAAATTAATTTTTCTGATCTTGTATAACAGCCATCTATCAAACAACCCTCTCCACTCCTTACCTCGGACGGCCTTTAAGTGTTTGCAACGCCTACAATATTTGTGAGAAAAATTTTAATACTGATGATTGATTTTTTCTGATTAATATAAGTTCAAACTACTAAATTATAATCTAAAAATCAATAGAAGACTTAGCTTCTGCAGCACTTTATTATAAACAAAAGAATTCGAGATTAAAGCATTATGATTTGAATTAATTTATTCTTAACTATATTCCGTCAGTATACGTGCTAGCATAAATACATGTGTGACATTTACGAGCGTATACTATAAAAAATTGTTTTAGTAAGATATTAGCTTGTTTATCTCATACAACAAAACATTGGCAATATTTCAGAAAACTTCTACATACGTTAGTATATTCTTTGGATGACGGCTTCTTGCAAGCATTACCCAATCTCCTGTCATTGTAAGTTAGACATTAAAAATAGTGTAAATATCTAAACTGAAAACTAATCACTTAAGTCGATATAACTGCCAGCATTTGTTAACAATTCCATCGTTAAACAAGCAATACCGAAAGTAACTACCCGTTTCTCTATAAATTGCTTTAGCAAATAAATATATCTATACTGTGATATAATACGCGTTTACGAGGCTAATTATGTTTTGATAATTTTAGGAATTTTGAAGGTGCGTATATTCGAAATCTTCCTAATGGAACCTTCAAAAATTCTCACCAGTTACAAGATATGTATGTGAATTACGTTAATGTAGCAATTTTGTTAGCTCCAATTACAATTTTGTGCATTTAAGCAACTGCTTAAAACGTTGAGTGTAGAAATTTGGACTTCAACAACATTCTAAATATTACTAAAGAGACTTTTCGCGGTTTACGTGGTCTTCGAATTTTGTAAGTCGAAGAATTCTCGTATAGTGATAACAGAAATATATATTTATTGCCACTTAATAATCCATCTTCTTGTAACACAATTTTAATAGTTTACTCTATCTATTTCTACTGCTCTTCTAGAACAGTAATATTCACCTTGTAGCGTTATTTCTACTTATTATATAATAACGCATATATTAGAATTTTATAATGTTATGAAACAATAACTATACGATTTCAAATCTAGTCGCGTAGACATGTACTAAATTTTAAATTTGTTTCGCTAGTACCTATATTACATTGCAGCAGTCACGATTAAGCTGGTATCATCGGTAATTAAATGTATTAAACTCTCTACCTTATCGAAAATTTTAGAAATCTTAGACAAAATCCAATTCAAGCAATAACCAGCAATATTTTATCTGAGATGCCAATTTTATACGGAAGGCAAAGTTTAAATTAAATAAGTGTTATATATTAGAAAATTAGCGCCGCTCCTACTTTTAATTATTTGGTACTTGCCTAATTAATCAACTTCTCTACTGTAATCTAAAATTTCTCTTGAAACAATTTCAGTTTCTTCATCAATAATAAGATTAACAAAATAGCTATGGGAGCTTTTCGTCATCCAAGGCTGACAATACTGTAAATATCAAATAGAAAGGACAGTATTATAGATAAACATTGAATTTGTGTAATTGTCGCGACAGAAAAATTTAACATACCTATATATTATCGGCACGATTTTTTTACTAAGTAACTCGCTAATAATAAGGCATTTAAGGCTCACTGTATACTGCATTAACATTTGCCATCATTTGCTTGTATTTTATTATCCAGTGATTTCGCTTATCAATCATTACCTAGAGTCGAATGTGGTATTTTTTCTCAATTACCTCGATTGCGAAGATTGTAAGGGATGTTGATGTTTGTAATTACGAATTGCAACCACTAATTAACGAGACAACGTATTATCTGATTTTTCTATTTTTTAAGGCGTTTGTTTTCAAACGGAATAAGAAGTATTTGCGATGGTGCATTTAGAGAACTTCGTTTGTTATATTTAATGTAAATTTTAGTAATATCATGAATCAATATTACCATATCGTATCATAAGTGAGGCAAAGTTCAACAAGTTTTTAATCTATATAGGAAAATAGGCTCTACAAAATAGTATAACGACTACTATTAAAGGGACATTTAGAGAACTTCTATCATTATATTTCATAGTAATATCATAAATCGATGTTGCTTTATAGTAACATCAATGAGGCAAAGCTCATCAAATTTGTAGTATACGCGGAAAAAATATGTTCTACTGTAAGATGTATACCCCTGACGATAAATAGCTAGTTTAGTGGTGTCAAAGGTATTACAGATATTAAGACGATAAGATTGTCGAATGCTATTAGAGCGTCAGAGATAACAATCAAACCTCACTTGGAACTCCATGTTATAAGATGCCATGCTAAATGTGAGAGCCGGTTACGGAATTCTATGAAATAGATTTCGATTGTAGTCTGAGAGAACTTGACCTGGAAGAACGTTTTACTAAGCATGTTTGTCAATAAGTCAGTCTCTTTGAATACGGAATTCAGTTTTGGATCTAGTAGTGCATTTTTTTACCTTGTTTATGTTTACGGCCGTAATATTCATCAATAATGTTTTAATTGTCGTAATATTCTATAATAATTATTTAGTAATAAAGCTTTTATCCGCTACAATTATTACTGCCGTAGGCATAGGAACAGCACTCATTACAATAGTGTCATAGCAGATTAAAATAAATTTTACTCGTAGTTTAAAGTCGATATTATGCACCTGTATCGAATTAATACTAAAATATTCAACAACTTACAAAAATAACGGATTAACATTAAATTTTAGCATTGTAGGAGCTTTAGTCCGTGATTCTTATTTAGTAGCTTTTCAATTAGTTATTTACTTCATAACTATATTTAATACTATTTTAAGATACCTAAAACTGATATTGATACCATCTTAATATTCCGTAATAAAGCCAATTTTAAATTTATCTACTTCAGCGACTTATCTAATAACACGCTCAGTGTCCTGACAAACCGAACATTTTATGGACTACGCTCACTTCGAGAATTGTAAATGGCCCTCATATTATTGCATTTTAAACACTTTATGCAACTATAATCGAAAAGAGCGATAAAGTTTGATCTAAATCATATGGAAAAACGCCTTTTATCACCGAAAAATAAAATGTTTATATTGCATTAAATCAGGTTTTTAAAACGCAACAATTTAACTCGTTTACCAAATGGTATTTTTTCAAGCACGCCATATATTTCGAAATTGTAAGTATTCTGGTCAATTGTTTTATTACCTATCGACTTCAAAAATAGATACTCGTATAAATAAATTTTATTTGGGAATACTTTCCCTATTTTGATGCGAAGGCATTTAGGCAATAACTATTTTGAAGAATTTGATGAAAATATATGCAAAGGTTTACGTGGACTACAATTACTGTAACTATATAATTATACGAGCATATCTGTCATATTAAAAATTTTCTTATGTTCAAAGCCTATATTTCAGTATTACCTTAACTTTTACTAATTCTGGACACATGTCAAATTATTCCATTCTTCGATAAAAGATCATAAATCTGAGCTTATTAAAAGCTAGTTAATATGTGTATCAAATTATAACGTTTCTCGAACGGTGTAGCTGTGATTAAAATTTAATTATCAGCTTATACAGACCTATATTTTTCATCTAATATTTAT